GTTTTGTTTTTTCAAGACAGGGTTTCTCTGTGTAGATTTTGGTGCCTGTCCTGGATCTCGCTCTGTAGACCAGGCTGGCCTCGAACTCACAGAGATCTGCCTGACTTTGCCTCCGGATTAAAGGTGTGTGCCACCACCGCCTGGCTTCAGGTCTTTAATTTTTATTAGCACAGAGTAGTGGGTTTCATTATGGTATTTTTATAAACAGATATCATTTATTTTATCCTTATTCCCCACTACCCTCCCCTATCTCCCCCCACACACTCACCCTGTAGGCCTCTTTCTTCCCTCTAAATAGTCCCCACTTCTCTTAAAGGGAAAATTAGTGTTTTCCAGGCTGACAGTTAAAGGGATTTTTCCAGTGGAGAGGAAGGTACATTTCCAAGGCATTAGAGATGGGGTGAGAGTCTAAGTAGAGAAAGCATCGGCACCCCCACAGAAGGTGTGATCAGCATCAGCACCCCACAGGAGGTGTGATCACACCTTCCCATTTGTGATTGCCTGTTTTCTCCTCGCAAATTAAACTGTGTACCTGGAGAGGGGGGAGCAGAATGGAATGTTTTCAGAGTCGTAGAAAACACAGGTAGACCAGATGGCCTTTGAACCCTCAAGACCTTCAGTTGTCTGTGAGTCCCTGCCTGACACACTGTTCATAATCAACATAGGCCCATCCAGCTGTGTGGATAATCACACTGTCCAATAATCACATCGGGACTCAGATTCCACCAACAGCTGGCTCAGCTTGGGCCACCCTCCACGCTTGGTCAGCAGCCTTTATCCAGTCTCCCTGGACCATGGCCTGACTTCCCTGGTGTTGAGAGTGTCCTCTGCTGAGCCATTGCCACTCTGCCACTGCCCCTTTTAACCTTGACAACCACAAAGTTGAAACCTGGGGGACAGGCCCATTCACTAAACATCTCTTTTGGGGGGTAGGGTGTGTTGTTGTTTTACATCTTCATTTTTATTACAGGCTATTAAGATTCAGATCATATCACACCTGTGTCTATAACCAAGAATGAGTAGATTCTGGACCTGTAAGTGCATCTGTCTATGCTTCGGTGGAACATGGTTGCCATTATCCACTCTCCTCATACTGCCTCCCAAGGCAGGCTTATGCTTCCTAGAAAACTGGTGCTCATCCAGCAGTCCTTCTGCTCCCACAGAGGACATCAGGGAGCTCCCCCCACCAGGACCTGGGTGCAGGAGTCTCTCTCTAGCTCCTTCATTGACTCACACTATGAACCCAGAAGAACCACTGTACCCCCAAGCCTTAGTAGCTTCTTCTGTAAAATGGGAAGCATCATATGCTTCCCCATCTGTCTGTGGGAAGGGCTTGCTTTTTTTCTTCTTCTTTTTTTCTTTTTTTTTGGGGGGGGATATTTTGTTTTGTTTTTACATCCCAATCAAAGTTTCCCCTCTGCCTTCTTCCCAGTTCCTCCCCGCTTCCCTGCTCCCCCCACCCACCCTGTCCACTCCTCCTCCACTGTTTCTGTTTGGATACAGGCAGGCCTGCCATGAATATCAACCAGCCATGGCATACACGTTGCGTCGAGACTAGCCACCTCCTCTTCTATTAAGGCTGGATGAGGCAATCCAGTAGGAGGAAATGGTCACCAAAGCAGACAACAGGGTCAGAGACAGCCCCTGCTTTCACTGTTAGGCATCTCACATGAAGACCAAGTTACACAACTGTAACATATACACAGAGAGCCTAGGTCAGTCCCAGGAAGGCTCCCTGGTTGTTGGTTCAGTCTCTGCGAGCCCCTGTGAGCCCAGGTTAGTTGGTTCTATGGGTTTTCCTGTGGTGCCCTTGACACCACTGGCTCCTACAATCCTTCCTCCCGCTCTTCAGCAGGATTCCCTGAGTTCCACCTAATGTTTGACTGTGGGTCCCTGCATATGTTTCCATCAGTTGCTGAGTAAAGCCTCTCTGATGACGGTTGGGCTAGGCATCCATCTAAGAGTATAGCAGAATATTATTAGGAAGCATTTCATTGGCTTTTTCTTTTTTTTTTAATTTGTGTTCGGTTCTATCCTAGGTCTCTGAGGTGCCCACTTCTGGGTCCTGGCATTCAGGGGTGAGCTCCCTCTCAGGGTATGGGAGCTCCCTCTCCAGCTGTGCCAGTCATCAGTTGGTCACTCCCCCCAATTTCAGCACCATCTTTACCCCAGAACATCTTATAGGTAGGACAAATTGTAGGTTGAAGAATTTGTGGCTGGATTGGCATCCCAATCTCTCTCCTGGGAGTCCTGCCTGGTTACAGGATTTGACTGGTTCAGGCTCTGTATCCCCTATTGCTAGAAGTCTAGGGTCACCCTTATAGATTCATGGGAGTTTCCATTGCTCTAGGTTTCTAGCTCATCCCAGAGATGTCCCCCCAATTCCAGTTATCTTTCCCAGTACTCTCTCCCTCCATCCTCCCACACACACACCTGGGGAAGGGCTTTCTTAAAGAACATCCAGCACCTGCTAGAATGTGCCATCTTCCTATCTCTGATATAGTTTATCCCAGGGCTAGAACATGGAAGAGAAAGGTCCAGAATGTGGATAATAGGGCTAGATCTGTAACTGTGAGTGGCCTTGGGCAGGTCACTTCACTTGGCAGAATCTCTATTTTCTTCTCTAGAAAAGTAACAGTGTATTCCTTCTAGGCTGTTGTGAGGGCCAAATGCTTCACACAGTGCTCAGGAAAGGGCCTTCGTCAATGCTGCCATTGTCCATTCCCTCTTCAGGCATGGAGAGTGGAAAAACAAGCCTGATTCTGCCTGCTTCCCTTACTCCTCTGGGCAACTCCTCCTCCTCCTCCTGATTTCCATCGTCATCAACCTACCATGAGAAACAGACGATAGAGATTTGGGAGATCAGGAGTGGCCCAGGGAAGGAATGGACAGTGTCCACAGAGCCTGAGCTGGGTCACAGTGATGCTTATGGACCCTCACCCTAAAGATGGAGTCGGGACCAGATGCCTTAGCCGCATGCCTGAGGCTCTGATGTCTCTTCATGTTCCTTGCACCGTTGGCCCCTGCTTCTCAGTCCCTGTGTAATATCCAAGGCCAACAGAGAACCTCTGTATGTCTGCTGTTCCTGACTAACAAAGTAGGGGTTTGGGTGTCTCTTTGCAGGCCCTGAGCCTCAGATCACTGTGGAAGTAAGAAGATAGAGTTCAGGCTGAGCCATTGGACCAAACCACAGACACCAACAGGCTTAACAATACTCTCCCATTGTCTCCAAGGGTGGGTACAGTCCTTGGATATCTCATTTGTCCTGACGCTACCCCAGGCAGCTGGGCAACATTCAGGGCCTTGGGCCCTTTAAGAAGCATGCCCTGGCCCTTGCCATGAAGTAGCATTGTCTACACAATTGCCTTCACCACCACCAGTGCTTCCTCCCTCTGTTGTGTCTTTGTTAGTCACCTGCAGGGTTTCTGGGCACCCGCTGTTTTACCAGGCTGTATGATAGCCCCTGGGGAACTAAAGAAGAAGCTAGAACTTAGGAGCCAATGATGCCTAACAAACAAGGACACTTGCTGCCAAGCCCAATGGCCTGAGTTTGATACATGGAACCCACATGTTAGAAGGAAATAACAGATTCCCACAGTGCACGTGTGCACATGCATGCACAGGGTTGAGGGTGGCTATGTCACCTTTCTTGGCGTGAAGACAGCTCTCCACATCCTCAGCACCCACCTCCTTGTCCAGAAGATTCCACCTTCCTCAAGACACAAAACCATAAAGGACAGCTTCTCGGGAACATGACTTTGGGAATCTACAACCAAACCTGCCTCAAAGTAGCTAGGACGGGTCTGTCTTGCCTCTCTGGAAGCGAGAGTAAGGAGAAGGAAAATGAGGAGAAGAACAGCACCAATAGGTATCTCCGCAAATCATCCCGTCCCACGCCACCCTCCCTTCCCACACTTGCCTTGTCAGGCTGATGTTCTTTCCTTCGAGAATATGCCCTGCTTTCTCTCAACCCCCCATGACCTCCTCTGCTTGGACCACTCCCATCCCACAGCCAGGCCCACTCCTCCATCAATCTGATGACTCCTCTGCCTTGTTTGGGGCCTCGGTGGTACCACAGGGAGCCCTAAACATTTCCTATCAGGCATTGACATGGGCCTGGCTTTTTTCCTACGTTGCTTGTGTTCATTGTGTTTGTATGGTTTGCACACAGTAGTTGTTTGTAGTAAGCACACACTGAGGAAATGGATGGGCCAGTCCCTGTGTTAGACTCACCCAAAAGACAGAAAGCCAAGTTGCCAAGCCCCTTAGGTGGGCCTGTCCAGGCCGTTCCATCCTCCCTTCCTTGGGTCTCAGGAAGTCCCATGCTTCATAATGCCACCCACAGAGTGGGGATGAAAGGGAAGTCATTCATTTAAGTACACCTCAGTCAGAGAACACTCAGGCCCCTTCTTTGGGATCCAGAGCACTCCTAAGTCTGTGGTCTGCTCAGACGAGGGCGCAGATGGCTGGACAGTGGACAGATGGGCCAGGAGGGTAGGCAGCTTGCTGGGATGGAAATAGCATGAACTAGGCATTGGGAGTCCTGGGCGCAGAGCCGGTCTGTTCCCTGAGATTGCTGCACGCATCATTCTGGGCTCTTTGGCTGGCAACAACAGAAACACTTAGTAACCCAGACGGCAAAGATACTTATTAGAAGCCTTGGAACATGACACAGACGTGATGGGCAACTGAGCTCTGCTTCAAGGATCCTTCCTGTTTCAAGGGGCACACAGGGCACTGGGTGAGAGGGTAGGTAACTCCTGACAAGAATTCAGGATTTGGTAAACTACCTGAAAACAATTGTTTACACCATGTGACCTGAGTTACTTCTCTGTGCCTCAATTTCTCTATCTGGATGTTCTGAAGCTGGCCTCTTTCTCTTTACATAGACAGTTTGCTTTTTAGCTGAGGAAAATTCCTGGCCCTGGCCCCAGATGGCACTTTTTTCCTACCCGGATACCTTGAGAATGAAGTTTGAGGGAGCTAGGTGAGTGATCACTTGTGTGTGGTCCCTGGAGGGCACTGAACCTTCCACCTGCATATTCTGTGACTAGTGACTCATTTGCGTGATGTGATCACCCTGATCATTTCTTTTCCATCAAGCCAGCACATGCCTCTGCATGCTAAACTTGCTGATAACAAGCCTGGATAGGGTTCTACCTGGCCATCTTCTCTATGCTGAGAAGCTTCTAGCTGAATCCAGTCTGTCCTCTCAGAGACCCCAAAGCCACCAACCCTGAGAACTTGACACTACCCTTTGTTTGACCTTTAACATGTCCATCAAAGGCTCAGGAGTTGGACTGGATGCCTGGGATGCATCAGGGATAGGGGGGGAAGGATGCTCCCACATCACTGAAGTGGGTGGGAGAGGCAGGTGCATCAACAGTTAAGAAGCATTGGAACAAAGTAAGCAACAGGAGAAACGTGAGCCAGGTGTTGGAGAGCCTTGGGGGGGGAGGGGTACTGATTCTTCCCTTGAAATTAGGAAATGATTCATGAAAGAGGTGATGGCTGAGAAGAGATACGGAGGAGTAGGATGTGGAAGAAGTTGGAAAGAACATTGCAGGTTGAGGAACAGAGAGAACCAAGGCATGAAAGTGAGAGAGGTTCCGTTTGGCAAATAGAGATAGGGGATAGGATCTTGGAGAGAAAGTGATCTTGAGGAGAGCTTTGTGGTGACAGAGAGGCATGCTGGGAGGGCTGATTGCAGGCAGAAAGTCCATGGTAGGGGGCGAGTCTATCTGGATTGCCCCAGCTTCATACCCAGGAATCACAGTCCCTCCCAGCTAAGCTTCCTCCTCCCATCTCCCCCATACCTCCTAGGATGAGCACCAGCTCAGGCTCCTCTGCCTACCACACCAAGTCTGTCACCTTTCTCTTCATCAACACTGCACAAAGCTAGCATCTGTTCCCGATGCCCCCAATAGCACCCACTCACCTACTCCTAGGCAAAGAAGTGGTACCCACCACGTACCCCCCCCCCATTGTCCTTGAACAAGCCCCTGCTGGAATTCCCCCAACTCATGGCATCTATTTGTAGTAGCACCACCATCCATGAGCTCCTAGAAGTTGGGTGGGTGGTCCAGGCTGAGTCAGTAACTATAGAGTAATATTATGTCCACAGACAAAAAGGGACAGTTAAACATAATGGCAATGATATCCATGCTGCAAGGAGCTTGGGATGTGACTACTTTATTTACAGATGAGGACTCGGGCCCACGGCAGGGAAGGGATGGCCCCAAATCATAAGCTTATGGGAATTATAATAGCAGTTGGCAACACCATTCACAAAAACCAAAAGGCAGAGCGAATCTGCAAGTTCACCAGCTGACGAGTGGACAAATGCAATGTGGTCTGTCCATACAGTGGGAAATTACTCACCCATAAAAAATAATGTACTGGCTGGTAATGGTTACCAGCTTAATAAACCCTGAAGACATTGCGCTAAATGAAAGAAACCAGACATAGAAGTTTTCATGTATGATTCTACTTCCATGAAATATCCAGAACTGGCCATAGAAACAGGTATAAAATCAGAGATTGCCAGGGGCTTGGAGGATGGAAGATGGAGTATGGCTCCTTAATAGGTGTATATGGGGTTTCCTTTGGGGAGGTAAAAACATGTTGTAACTAGATAATGGTAGTACTGGATATCATAAGTGTATTCAGTGCACAGTGATAGGCTTCATCCAGGCATGATAGTCCCAGCATTAAGGAAGCAGAGGTAGGAAGATTAGGAGTTCAAAACCAACCTGGCCTGCACTACGACACTGTCTCAATAAATAAGTAAATAAATAAAAAGTAGATTTTATGCTATGCAGACTTTATGACCAGATGCCCCCTGCTGAATCCAATGTCCCTTCCTTACGTCTGTGCTGCTAACCTCTACCTCCCTCCTGCTGCAGACCTCCCAAGCCCATGTTGGCACTGGGAGGCTCGTGCCACCCCTCAGTACAGGGAAGCCACACAACCAAGTACAAAAAGGCCACCCCACCCAAAAGTCAGGGCTCATGACTTCTGGGAGATGTTTTGCTCTAGTGCCTCTGCTAAAGCTTAAGTCTCACCTGCTTTCCCATTCCTCTGTCCAGTCTACTTCCAGGTGGTGCCCCAAGTGTAACACTTGTACTGCCCAAGTCCTTACTCTGGCAACCCATCATCTACTAGAAACATCCTTTGAGAAGTAGCTCCTGCCTTCCTTTTGGAGGACACTTCCTCCTCCCACAGACTTGAGTGGAACTCTCCCCCATATACAGACATCAGTCAAAGGAGATGCCACGGCACAATCATGTTAGCACCTCCAGCTTTTTGGTCAGATGAGAAGGGTCCTGGCTTGATCAGCATTGTATTATCAGGACTGCCATAGATCTTGCTCACAGGAGGTGCTTGGCAAATGCAGGCTGAAGGCACCCATCATTTCTGAGGCTCTCTGCTTCTAAGAGCAGCAGTTGCTGCCTGTTGACACAGGAGAGTTTTAGCAAATGTTGTCCAGGCGATAGAGGTGGAGGAGGAGAGGGTTGCCCACAGCATTCCATTCCAAGCTGCTCTTTCTGTTCCTGGTGGCCAAAAAGAAGGGCAATACCCAGAATCAGGGCTTCTCTGTGCTGTGTGAATGGACCATCTTTCTCTTTCTCTCTCTCTCTCTCTCTCTCTCTCTCTCTCTCTCTCTCTCTCTCTCTCTCTCTCTCTCTCTCTCTGAAATCTGGTCAAACTCCTGACACAGCCTAGACACACAACTATGAGAAGGAGTGGGGGCTGGAGTCCACCACAGGGCAGAACCACATCTTGCTCCATTTTCCTCCACAGTGCTGGGGTGCTACTCTTTCTGCTCTTCTGATTATGAAATTAGTCATTTTCTAGGAAGCTTATTTATAGAGTCCACTGCACACATGCAGCGCTGAGCTATTCTGAATGTGGCTGGGGTGTGAAAAGCAGGTGTGAGTCACATGTGGGTCTCCTTCCAGATACCTTGATTACCTTTCTGCCCTACATCACGGGCCACTGTCTTGGGATATCCTCCATCTAGGGGTGCTCTTATAGTAAAGCAAGTTCAGATTGAGAGACTGTTCTCAAACCCAATCTCTATGGCTCCCATTTTTAATTCAACCTGCTTCAGTGCCCTCCTCTGCAAAATGAAAGGTCTTAGAGACCCATGATTCCCTGGCTGCTGTTGAGGACGGTTCCAGGTGGCTCAAAAAGACCCACCCATAAAGTAGCTCCGATGGTGGCTGCTTGAGGTAGCTGATGTTTTCTGAAGCACATTGCAATGGCACTCACTTATTCTACAGTTCTTTATCTATTGAACCTCCTTTTTTTTTTTTTTTGGTTTTTTGAGACAGGGTTTCTCTGTGTAGCTTTGTGCCTTTCCTGGATCTCACTCTGTAGACTAGGCTGGCCTCGAACTCACAAAGATCCGCGTGCCTCTGCCTCCTGAGTGCTGGGATTAAAGGTGTGCGCCACCACCGCCTGGCTTGAGTCTCCTTCTATGGGCCAGGCACTGGGCCAACCTTGAAGATGCAAGTTAAAATTATAGAATTAAAAGAGTGGTCATTGACCTTTTGCAGCCTACACCCTAACGGCTGACAATGATGTTGGTCCAGCAACGGCCTCAATTAAAATGGGCTTCCTAACTGTGTTGAGTGCTGAATAAAAAGTCGCAGCAAGTAGAGATGAATGTCCTATCCAGGCGAAGAAGTGTGAGTGCAGAGGCATTTAAAGGAAGGAGCCTGTCCAAAGCAACCCGAGTAGCGGTCAGGGCAGGAGGGACAGAAGGTAATGCTGAAGGAGAAATAATCTAGTTAACTGCATTAAGGGATGTTTGTCTCTGTTCTTAGTGAATCGGGATGCTGTGGGAGTATTTTTCCACAGCAAGTTATGTGGTGAATTTGAATTTTGAAGAGCTGGTTCTAGCTCAAGGCTGCCCCATACTGTGTGCAGTTTGGGAACTTCACAACCTATGTAAGTGATAGACTTGGGCACTGTGTTGGGGAGTGTTTTTGATGGTCTTGGGCATCCATTCAAGTCGGCCTGAATGGATGCCCAAGACCATTAGGTAAAGAGCACACTTACAGGCAGGGATACCTTGAAGGTAGTGTCCCTCTGTCTCTGAGACATCTGGTCCCTAGAACTGGGATTCTCAGAAATGCTGCCAGTTAGAGTAAGGGGGAAAAATAAAACAAGACAATGCAAGTTGAGAGTGGAAAACACCAGAATGGGAAGAGTCAGCCTTATCCTGGCCTATCTGCCCTTATTATTGAAATCTGTAATGGTCCTAAAACAGACTGTAGGATGGATGAGGGTCCACGTTGCAGGATTGGTGGGCAGAGGCTACTGACCTTCTGGACTTCGAGTTTGTGCTAGTGAGCCTGCGTTAAAGGTTGTTCAGCTGCCAGTTCTACTGGCTAAACTAAGATGTGGGGACCTAGTGAGAAAACCTTGGCCATCTCACAGTCTCAATGGATGCGCTCTCCATCAAGAGACTCAGCACACAAAGGGCTAAGGAGCTCCGAGGCTCCAGTCCTCTGCAATCCTTCTCTCAGGGAATGGCCACAGCCATGAATCAACCACGGAAGCACAGATCCCAGAGTCCTAGAATGCACGGTAGACATGAAGGGATGATCTCTGATAGGCACAGCCTGGCTTGCGTGTTCAGCCCTGATCCAGCCCACAACTGCCAAGAGTCAGGCATGAAGGAGAGCCAGGACCATTGGGCCTCACAGCTGCATTGCAGGCCATTGGCAGAGCAGGAGATCCTGTGAGCATCATGGTGTTCTGCCCTCCAGGTTTGTTGAGTCTGAAGATACTTTCTGGGATCTAATTGATTTCCAGCAAGCTTTTTCCAATTCACTGTGTGAAGAAAGAAAACTAGACCCTAGGGCAGTCTATTATGTACCCTGATGGGCTAGAAAGAGGGTTTTCTGGGGGTTGGGTAGGTAGCTTGGTAGTTAAGAGCACTTGTTGTTCTTGCAGAGAACCAGGTTTCAATTCTCAGCACCCACATAGTGACTCACAACCACCCGGATCTCCAGTTCCTCTCTATAGCACAAACTCGCACATATATACATCATCATTATCATTCTCATCACTAACAAAGGAACTAGAAAACAGAATGGCATAGCAATAAGAACATTAGCTTGGAGTTCTCCAGTGTAATTTCAAACCCAGCTTCACTCTGATGAGACCTTGGACAAGTCACATAAACCTCCTAAGCCTTGTTTAACAAGCCCCATTTCATGGGGTCATGGTGAGGACTCTGTTTCAGAGTCTCAAGAAGGTGAGCCAGTCTTTCGTCGTGGTGGAGGTGGTGGTGGTGGTGGTGGTGGTGGTGGTGGTGGTGGTGGTGGTGGTGGTTGTGGTGATGGTGGTGATGATATATGGAAAACACCTACAAAACCCTGCCTCTCCTCTGCAGCTTGATGCCATAAGAGGCTGCTCTTTCCCTTGGGTCCCTTGATGAGGTGGAGCTAATTCAAGGAATACTGAGGGAGACAGCTTTTCGTCTTTGCTGGGACTCTTGATCCTGGATCACCAGCATCCCCTGACAAAAATTTCTCTCCCACTGCAGGAGTGAGAGAGAGAACCAGGCTGCTGATGACTCCGAGGGAGGGGCCCTGGACATGTGCTGCAGTGAGAGGCTGTTGGGTAAGTGTCCTCAGCACTCCTAAGACCCAAGAACTCAGATTGGAGAAAGAGGGTACCCGTTGACACAGAACTCGAAGTCTAGTTGCCTGTGAACTCGCTGTTCTGAGGTCTGCCTCTCTGTCTAGTTGGGGATTGGTTTCTCAAACCCTCGCTGTCTTTCTGTCCCAGGGTCATTTAGGGCAGTTCTGTCTGCTCTGGGAGGAAGAGCAGACATCTGAAGGTGTGCTTGGAGGTAGAGAGGAAGAAAGCAGACAAGGGAGCTTAGCATGGAGAGAGAGCAGCTGACCGGTAATGTGTCAGTGCAAGCCTCGGAAGCAACAGAGGAAATCTAAACCAGGTGATATGGTCTGAGCTGAGGGTGGCCAAGCAGCATGCAGAGCGGCCTGTCAGTCCTGCAGAGAAGCCTGGCTGAGAGTCAGAGCATGCAGCTGGAGTCCAGGTGACCACAGATGTGGGAGTCTGCCTGCCTGAACCCCTGCCATGGCTGTCACCATGGAGACGGCCAGGGCACTGTGCCCACAGAGTGGTAGCATGGCCCACCAGTTGGAGACCATGATCCTGGTCAAAATAAACTGCACTAAAAGGAATAGAGTGGAGAAGACAGTGAGAGGGGTTTTATCTTCTTTTTATATGTTTTAATTATTTTTCTTATAGCAAGTGTCCATGGCAGCAATATTACAAAATAAAGGCGGGTGAAACATTTGAAAATTCACCATACCTTTGTAGCATAGCCTACGTTTTCATATCCCCCACCCGAATGTTTGTTTTAAAAATAGCCTTTTGAATTCTAACTTCGAAGCCTCAAACCTGTAGTGTCTGAGAAACCTTGCGATCATGCTAGATAAGAAGCTTTAAAAGTGCCGTCTCCATGTGACATTCAAGATTGGCATTGAAAACAAATAGATGTGGCTCTGAAGCAGTGACTTCAAAATAAGCAATTACAGCATCCACTGCCCACCCTTCCCCAGCTCCCTGGCTCCTCTAGCAGCCTGAGCCCTTGGTGCGGTTCTCCCTCATCCACTAGGGGCACCCTTGCACACCGTGATCCCCTGGTTTTGCTGGTGGGGGGATGAATGCAACTCATGGGAGGCAGCCTGGCAGGGACCACAAGCAGCTAGTTGGAAAGAAGGAATTCTCCGAAGGTTATGAAAGCTGAGTATCTGAAGGACCCCTGTATGCTGGGGCACAGCAGATCTATCCTGCATATTCTATCCTGCATATTTCAGGAGTATGACATAAGCCCAACACATAGACATAAAGATCTGGGCCCACGGGATGAAGAACTTACTTTCTGACTCTCACAGTGGTCCAGTCATAGAACTGATGATTCCAGAGGAGGGAAATGAGTGTTCCATCACTGGAGGCATTCAAGTATTGGAAGAGAAGCAATGGAGAGGAAATTTCCACAGTGGGTGGGAGGGTCTCAGTGACATCAAAGTCTCTTTCAACTATTAAACGCTTCTGTGATTCAGATATGAGTCATAGAATTTGGAGATGATTCTACAATCAGAGATGGCCCCACCGGCTAGAAAATATCCACAGAAAGTAGGACATAATGTATAGGAACCCAGGGAGGAGCATGGTGTGGAGGAAAGAGCACGGGGCTTGGCATTTGAGTCTGACTGTGCTATTTCCAGGCTGTGTGTTTATGGGCGAGTCATTTACCCTTGCTGGACCTGTCTCTAGTCCATCATCTGAAAAGGGAAATAACAGCAACATGAATATTCATCTTCACAAAGGTCCTGGGGAAGTAAATAAATGTAACCAATCATTTGTTCAGCAAGTCCATTTATTGAGTACCAACCATGTCTCAGATACTGTACTGGGTGCTGGGGATATAGTGGTAGATGGAACATAGTCCCTACCTTAGTGAAGGTTCACAGACAAGCTCTGAGCTGAGCCACTTCTGGAAAATGGGACAAAGCCACAGCAGAGAGGTTACAGTAAGAAGCACAATATGTTTAATTCTAACTCTCCTCCCCCAGAGCCAGCAAACAATGTCGAATGGAAGAGGAGATTAGTCATCTCCATTGAAGCTTGGCACATTGCCTGCCTTATGCAATACTCAGGAAGTTGGTATCATTTACTGCCCCCATCTTACAGATGACAGGACGAAGGCCCAGGGAAGTTGGACTTCCTTCCCAAATTCCCTTAGCTGGATGATGTTAGGCAAGGGAAGGCCCAGTCCAGGCACTCCTGAGCCAGTGTCCTCACCACCACCCTGTTCTTACCTCCATTGTCTCCATAGAGTCAGTGTTGTCTGTAGAGGGAGAAAGAGAGCCGGGCAATGTCACTGTGCCTGTCTCCCTCTGTGTCCTGCTTCTTCTGGAAAGCCCTGTCTGCCAAGGGCCAAGAGGATATATGCCCCCTAGACACCCATGATGCCAGGCAGATATGGTATTGCAATAATTATTTATTTTGTGACCATGAGCTCTTTAAGGCAAGCCCCTCTCTGTCTCACTCCTGTGTCCTCCATGCCCACCATTTATTAGGCCATGTCTTCATTATTCACCATTAACTGAGCACCTACATGTGACTGACACTGTTGTAGGTTCAGGAGATCCAATAGAAAACCAAACTGAGAGAGTGCCTACCCCACAGCACTATATTATGTATTAAGAGTGGGTTTTCAGCCGGGCGGTGGTGGCGCACGCCTTTAATCCCAGCACTTGGGAGGCAGAGCCAGGCGGATCTCTGTGAGTTCGAGGCCAGCCTGGGCTACCAAGTGAGTTCCAGGAAAGGCGCAAAGCTACACAGAGAAACCCTGTCTCGAAAAACCAAAAAAAAAAGAGTGGGTTTTCAAGCCTGGAGAGATGGCTCACCTTGTAAGAGCATGGGCTGTTCTTCCAGAGGGTCCAGGTTCAATTCTCAGCACCCATAAATCGTCTGTAACTCCAGCTGCTCCATGAATATTGCATGCATGTGGTGCATAGACCTATATGCAAACAAACACCCATACACATTAAATTAATTTAAAGAGAAAAAAAGTGGGGCCTCGGGGCTTAGCCTGACTCAGTCACTAATCAGTGAGATGCTGATTTCACCTCCCTGGATCTGCTATCTATAAAGTGTCAAGATTAGTCTTCAGCGCCATACATAATAGAGAGCTGAGAGCAGAGCTTAGCACACAGTAGTGCCACATAAGCATTCACTGTGAAGGGAAGAGAGGCAACAAATGAGGAGGGGGCGTCATTTGGCAAACTGTGGGAAAGACCATAGAAAAAGATGAAAGCAAAGCAGCGGGAGGCAGGGAAGGACTGGAGGGTATTTCGTATTGTGACTGTGTGGGCCTGAGCCTGGTGTGCAGCAGATTGCCACCTAGACTGGTCATCCAGATCTGCTGACCTAAATGGAAACTTGGACATAAAACAAATGGATGTATAGAGGCCAAGAGCACTGGGGTGCTGGGCCTCTAGAAGAGCCCATAGACACTGTGAGCAATTGCATAATGATAATAATGGTATAAGAATACAGCCCTAAGTAGTTTCTCTCCCTCCCTACTGTCTTCCCTGCTGGGCAAGACACAGGCAGAGCGAGGGCCAGCCATGTCAGGATGACTCATCCATTCCCACACAAACTTCAGAGTAGAGTGACATGGCCAACACTCAGACACTCGGTCACCCGGACCTGAGGCAGCATCAGGCAGGTCATATAGCCCTCTTAGATAATGCTTCCTGGAGTGAAGATGTCTTTAGACATCACCAGCAACCCAGGAAGCCCGCAGCTGCCTTCAAAGCGGGTAGGCTGCTCACACCCTCCAGGGTACTCCCACGTTTGCTCACACACTTGTGTTTGTTCTCATTTGACACAGCCGCATGCTCACGTACACACATGCACATGCCCACACAGTCACCCAAGCACGTGGCCTGCCTCAGACTCACAGGGCCCTGTGGGGGTGGACACGCACCGCCAGAGGACACACACCTGCATGTCTTCTTCCTCTTGCATGCTCAGCTCGCTCGGCTCTGCAGCTCCATCAGCCTTCATCCACCATACAAGCTCCCTGGCAACTAAAAGACACACCAGCTCTCTTACTCTCTTTAGGTCTTTCCTTGGACTGCACCCTGATCTCATACACATGCACAAACATTAGAAAGCACCCTCCTTCCTTCTACATTCCCTGTCCTTTCGCTGGCACTTAGCCACTCTTGGTTTCAGGAACCAATGGTAGGCACTTGGTGTAGACCTGGATGCCTTCTCGGCTCCATGCATATGCAGACTTCTTTTCTTTCCCCTCATTCACACATTCCTTTTCACGTGGTCACTCTCTTTTCTTCCACTCCCCTTGCATGCTCACTTTACTTGCTTTGCAATCATCCAAACACATCGGTACATTCAAATCCACACTCCCTGCTCTTTGGAGCGTAGGTGTTCACATTTGCATGAAAGCAAAGAACACTGCTAGGGCCTCTGTTCCTTCCCCCAGCTAGCAGTGGTATGGGCCTCGCCTCAAATCCAAGAGCTTCCTTAGAGTACATGAAAGGTAGAGAACACTGGTGCCAGTGATGGCCAGGCCGTGCAATAGAGTGACATCATTAAGTCTTGCTTTCAGTGTCTCCCATAGACAGACTCATGGGCAGGCTGCCTCCTGAGATCTGCAGGAACTGGGGCCAGATCATCAGTGAGGACTCTAATGGAATACCACCTCCTGTTCAGTCTTGTACTGCAAGGACCTTTGCATGTGTGCATGTGGGCACATCACTCTGTATAATCAATCAGTCATGGTCCACAGTTCACCCCAATCAGTATGTAACCTCAGAAAGATGCTCCTGAGGGAAAAACCTTGCAGGCATCATGTTGTGGTAAAAGGGAATTCTGAAGTCCTCATTATTAGAGTACTGCGTGAGAAGAGGGCATGGACACCAGGTGGGTGCATGGGCACCTCTCCTGGGCCTTGTGAATTATTGTCCTATAAGAATGGTAGGGCCAAATGAGAGGAAATGCAAGTCCATGTCTAGGAATGCCAATGCTCTGGAGACCGGGGTACTCCAGAGGCCCTTTATAGCTGACTAGAGTCATGACAGTCCTGGCAACCCTGAGGGTTAAGTGTGTGATGTTCAACTTTGTTCATACAAGGTTTCAAGTGTACACTAAAGGCCTAGAACTTGTCCTTTTGGTAAGAACAGAGATGACTTCTTGGGCTGAAGGCTCTGAACCCTACTTCCATCTTCAATCTTGATATGTTGAAGGCAGGTCCCAGCCCAGCGCTAGATACAGTGCTCTGTATGTAGGCTCACCAGTGTTCAGTGGATTCTCCTGAGCCAGGCATGAGGTCTCAGTCTCACCAAGAAGCAATTGCTTATCCTGGGTGCTGCTTTATGGAATAAAGGAGATAGATGCAGGCCTGTACTAATGAAGGCTTGGTTATCCTAACCCTGCATTGACCCCCCCTGTGATCAGCAGAAGGGGTCATAGCTTTCACTACATCTCCATCATGCCACTTAAGAGGCTTTGTGTTAGAAGCCAATGGACTGTTGAAAATGCCCTTTGATCAACTCAAATTTATAGAGCATCCACTCCATCCCAACATGTCCCAGATTAGTGATATAGTGCTAAGCAAAGCAGATGTACTCCCTCTGCTCTCAAAGAACACAGGACACTAGGGAAGGCCTGTACACAGCCCTAACTTCAAGAATCAGGAAAGGCTCCTGCAAGCGTCCTAGAGGATGAGTAGGTCCCCACTCATGTCTTCAGGGTCTCTATCAAGTGTTGTAAGGAGAGAGGTAACCTCAAAAGGAAACTTAGCTTCTATCTGCTAAACCCTGTCCTCGCTGAGCATCCAAGTCTGGTGCCTAGTACTGGTTCTAACTGGCCTGGGAGCAGGTACAGGAGCCCAAGTGGACAAGCAGAGAGGAGGCAGACTAGATGTGTCATATGGCTGAGGTGCTATTATGTCTATTCACAAGCACAGCACACAGTCTGAATGACTTTCTCTTTTCCTGGTGGTAGGACTAGAACTCACAGTGTATGTGCACACTAGGCAAGCACTGAGCTGTAGCCCCCATTCTACTGGGTTTTATTTCTTTACTAGATTGATGCTTCTGTTTTCATTTAGGACTACTAATGCATTTAGAGATGTTTACACTGACTAATGATGTGAGTCTTTAGACCATTATAGAGTAACAAAACACTAATAGAGTAACATTTTGGGAAGAGGCCTTAGTCAGGTATCCACTAGTCAGCAATGGTAGAATTTAACTAGTCTCTGACACCATGACAGAAATGAGATCAGGAACCCCATGTAGCTGGGCCTAGAAGCACTTTGGGGAGGTAGACAGACCTGGGTTCATGTTTCAGCTCTGTCACTAACTGGCACCATGGCCTCAGGTAAATCATCTGTTTTGACCTCAAAATTCTGTTCTCTAAACTATAGATGGTGATGTAAGATCTTCACAGAGGCCATGATAATGAGCTAATAGATTGAAAGTGTTTATTGCACTTTAGTACTCAGTCAGTGGTAGCTGATAATGATGGTGGTCATTCCAGAGTATGGAGCTTGAACAGAAAATTTCTTGCATTTTTATGAGCCTGCTCCAGGGCTCAGGTGTCAAGCTCTGGCCAGTTCTTCAGCAATGTAGCTTTATCTCTTCCATGACTCTCCACCACAGGTCCAAGATCTCACAGAGCTAACCCAGCCTCAGACAGGAGTATTGTCTGCTTGCAAAGTCAGGTAGGAAAGGGGCCAGCTGGTGGGAAGAGAATCTCTGTCCATTTTCCTTCACTGAGGTGGACACAGCTGTGACAGTGTAGGGAGGTGTCTGGATGTGCAGGGACACTAAAGAGAGAGTCTCTGCAGCTGCTGCCTCTACAAAGGTTGATGCCAAAGCCCATTGAGATAGATGAGAACTCATCACATCCCCAAGATATGTGGGGACAGATGATCCCCTTTTCCTTTGTTCTGTCCAGTGTCAAGCCACCCTAGCTCTCAATATGTTCTTTATGACCTTCTTAAAATGTGTCCCTTTAACATCCTCCTTTACTCCAGCTCATTCATTCTTCTCAGATCTCAGTGTCTGTTTTAGTTAGCTGTTACTTCCTTAAAAACTGTCTCAAAACTCAGTGGCTTCAAACAGGGACCATCTTACCTGCTCATGAACTACAGGATCAGGCAGGGTGTTCTTCTGTTCTGTGTCAGCTGAGATCATCCACCATGCTGTGTTCACCTGTTTAAAGGTCTGGGAAACAATGGCCATGAAAGCTTTTCTTATGCATCTGGTGCCTCAGTCCCTGCCATGTGGCTTTGCCTCTCTTTAGTTAGCCTGGGCTACCTCACAGCATGGTAGTCATAAGTACGTTAGACTTCTCATGTAGCAACTGACTCCTGACCTTCTAAGAGGTGGAAACAGAAGCTTCAGATTTCCTAAGCCTCAGAAAAGGAACTATAGTATTATTTTGATTTATTGATCAAAGCTAGCCACAGTCTCAGCCCAGATTCAAGTAGAGGAAGAAACATGGCACCTCTTCATGGGACACTAGGAATCTACACCACGTTCATCTACCATAACATCCTTTATCAGCTTCTCTGCTTCTCTTATATGCATTCCTTTCCCAAATATCTATTCCTTTCTCCCATTTGATGTCCCACTGTTTTTTCAAGCCTTTCTTTATTTCAGCTACTCACCTGTACATATCTTAAGTCTTTGGCTCTTCTCCCTACTTGCAAAGAGCATGGCTGTGTACAGGCTCCTCCCCAACATTTGCAAGGCCACTGAAGCTACATCAAAAGAATTTAAAGTTGGAAATAGAGCCAATGAATTTTGAAATTAAGCATGTTCTGTCCTTCTACATGGACAAATATTCATCTATAAGGAGTATGAAAACCAGGTTCATACTTATTAGTTAAGCCAGGCTAGAATTGTGACTCCTTGGCATTCTGCATCAAGATACAAGGTTTGGAGAAAGTCAGTACTAGTCTATCAGGCTCCATCCACTGCAAGGATATTCACATGCACTTATGTGCAGGGGCACTCTGACCCTCACATCTGATCTCTTCTGCAGACTAGAAATGCACACAGCACTGTGTTGGGCATCAGAAAACAAGAAAAGAGAACATCATTCTGAACAACCAGGCTCAGGCCAGTCTGCACAGAGAACCTTTGGATTTGTGTATAAACTGAGAATTGTCTTCATGGCTCAATCTATTCCTCACCTCTGGGAAGGATGCCTAGTAAAAGAGTAGATAAGAGCCCTTCAAATACGAGTCCAGACCAAGAGCCATTTTCCTGGTGTAATGACAGTGCTGAGCACGTATGCCCTGGTGGTGAGCATCACTCTCGTGGCGAGACTAGGACAAGCCCCCACACTATTCCAGCCCTCAGGTCACTCTCCTGCACTGGGAGACAGGGAATTAGTCTTCACATAGCAGTTGTGAGGCCACAGAAAGCTGGTATGTGCATGGAGCTTGTAAACTAGAGTCTACTCATTTGTCTATTTATTTTCTAATTGTTGGATTCAGGCCTGGATATGAATCTGAGCTCTTCCTTTTAAAGTCTGGGATCCTGAATAATCATTGCACAACTCTAAGTGTCTGTCAGCCCCGCTCAGGCTGTTGCTGCCTGTGACTGTTAAGAAAGATGGTCTTTTTGCCAAATTCCAGTCAACTATCACCTTGCTTAATACAGACCATTTTTGGGCCAGCAAGGTAGATTGTCAGATAAAGGTGCCTGTTGCCAAATCTCATGACCTAAGTACAATCTCTGGGAACTACATGGTAGAAAGAGAGACCCACTCTGCAAGGTGGTGTCCTCTGACTTCTACACACATGCCATGACAAACATACACTCAAAAAAATTAATTAAAAAAATAATTTTTAAAAGACGACTTCTCCACCACAAACAAGGCCATTTGGAACGTGCTCCTTATGTCCACCCTATGCAGGTCCACCTTCTGCCAACATGCGCAGCCCAAACCCAGCAGGAAGGCCCACCGTAGCCATGCCCAGCCTCTCAAGCCTACCATAATAAATGTGAGTCCAGCCTGTTGTGGGGTCTGTTGTCTGAGAAAGGAATAAAGCTGCTCGTGTTAGACAAGTTCTGTTGCACAGTTAGTTACCAAAAGCTTTATAGCTTCAGACATTTGTTATCGTACTGTGTTTTTAATTCAGGAGCCCAGGGCTTACAGTTCTGGCCCAGCCTCTCAGAACATCTCAAAATGTTGGCCGTTGTACAAAAATCTCAAAACTTGCCTAAGGCTGAACATCTACTTTATCGAAGTTCACCCACAGGTTGTTAACATGCCCCATATCCCTGCAGCCTGTTGGTCTCAGTTCCTCTCCAAGCAGACCTCTCCACAGCTACCCAGTCAGGAAGCTGGTTCCCCCAGTGTGAGTGACTCCAGAGAGGAGGGGGCTCCCCAGATGAAGTTACAGTCTCTTCTAACCTAATCTTAGAAGTGATATGCCTTCACTTCTGTTGTGTGCTTTTGGCCACAGAGCCTATCATGGCTGCCATGTGGGAGAGACTGCAAAAGGTTGTGAGTACCAGGAGGCAGGATCATTGAGGGCCACCTTGGGGGATGTCTACTGTATTGCTTAAAAGTTGAATAATTAAATTTGAAAAGCTTTTAATAAAGCTTAGCATAGCTATCACCCTCCGTCCAGCTTTCTTTTCAACACACTAGACTATTTCAGTGTGCTTCCCTCTTAGCATCTTTCAATGTTCAACTTGCAAGTTAAGTTCTATGTAGTTGGAAATACGGGCTGGTATATCATCGGTCTTAAAATTTTAATATAAAATGTCTGTCTTTTAACATAGTTAAATCCTCATAATCCAAAGAGACATAGTCTTAAGATGTGCTAAGGAACTGTAGGGGGGAAAGCCCATTTACTAAAAGAGAAAAATAACAAGAAGGACATCAACATGAAACCAGTGCCTTCCTCGGGCGGTGGGCTGTGAAAGACTTGGTTTTTCTTTATTCTCTTACGGAAATCGGACTCTCTGCACTTTCTAAAGTCATTTTTACACAAAAGGATGGCGCATTCCAAAACGCTAATTAAACAGTAACTGTAGGTAGTGGGGACACTCTTCCCCCTGCTTGCTCTGTTGGCAGACCCCAAACATGGGATTGACCCAAACCCACGAATCCTAATGAGAGCTGATTAGTCCTATGGGGACCTCTGTAGAGACAGATGACCACAAAACATGGAATTCTGTTTCCTTGTAGAAAACCAACAAAATGACTCAGAGGTCACATTGGTGAGCCCACTCAGGGAAGGGGAGGTTCAAAGGCTCCTTGACAATCAGCTATGCTACAACCGAAGCCATAAGTCTTTCCTCCTGGGAGGTGCTGATTCCCAAGCAGAGTGACTCTCCAGCTCTTTCAGGAGCAAGAACAAAGGGCCCTAGGCTTCTGTTCTGCCTTTCTCTTCAGACACTGGACAAATTTCTAGTTCGGTGGCTTGGTTTCTGGTTTCCTTAGAGGCCGAGAGGGTATTGTCACTGTCGGCCACACTTCTCGGTGTCTGCCGTGAGCGCATCTTCAGTGGCCCACATGACGCCCCAGGCTGGCTTCTTGAACTTGCTTCCTGTTCTCTCTGCTGTGCCCCTCTATACATAATTTGTGTATTTAATGCTCATTCTTGTCCCTGCCCTTACTGAATAATGTCAATATTTCATATTCTATATTTTAATAGTGTATATTTTATAGGTGGTCCCTGACTTACAATAATTGGAATTAAAGGTTTGTTTTTGTTTTTTACTTGAAGGTGAAGGTGAGGCAGTAGAAACAGAACTTCAAATTTTGATCTTCTCTCATGCTAGCAACATAGAGTATGCTACTCCAACAGCGAACCAAGTCAGTCAGATCATCAAGGGTAAATAACTGAGTTTGCCTTACTGCTAAGCCTGCTGTTCAGTAGATTAGGGGGAGTAAATGCACGTCTACTTAGGGTATTTTCAACTCGCAGTGAGTTTCTTGGGCAGTAACTCCATCCTAAGTCAAGTACTCATGCTTTGTGTTGGATCTTGGTTTTGGTACTCAGTATTCTAAGTGAGTCTAAGCTCCGCCACCATGATGCCATATGTATCTTGATATTTTGCTCCTAATGGATGCAAATGCTCTCTTTATGTCCCTGAACATTTGGCCTTTCTCCTCCCCTGGCAATGGGCATGCAGTTGTACCTCCTCCCATCAATAAAACAGGAGAGAAATATGGGCTTACTCCTCCCTCAGTAAGATGGTAAGTTTTTTTTGTTTTTGTTGTTTTTTTTTTGTTTTTTGTTTTTTTTTGTTGACTTGACACAAGCTCAGGGTCATCTGAGAAGAGGAAACCTCAACTGAAAGATCGCCTCCATCAGATTGCCCGTAGGCAAGTCTGTAGGGCAGTTTGATCAATGGTTATTGTGGGAGGGCCCAGCCCACCAGCGGTGGTGCCACCCCAAGGCAGGTGGTCCTAGCTGCATAAAAATGCAAAGAGAGCAAGCCACGGGGAGCAAGCCAATAAGAAGCAATAAGCCAGTGTCTGTCGGTCAGAATGACCCCATACTATGCCTGAAAAACCTGCCTCAGCTTCTGCCTCCAGGTTCCTGCCTTGGCTTCCCTCCATAAAGGACTGCAAGCTGTGAGATGAAATAAGCCCTTTCCTCCTCGGGTTGCTTTTGGGTGTGGTGTTTATCGCAGCGATAGAAAGCAAACTGGAATACTCATGGACTGTGTCAAAATTTCCTTGAGCTTTGCCCCTCGGAGCACACCCTCTGGTTTCAAAGCAGTTCCAGCAGAGAACCTGGGCGCAGGAGTCGAGGGTGGAGCCTAAGGAGATACCCAGGAGCCAGAGCCTGCTGGATCTTTCCTACTGGCCTTGGCCAGGACTTTTGTTCTTTATCCTAAGATCAAAGAGAAGCCATTGAATTAAGCTAAGCAGCGGGCTCAGGATTCCTTTTCAAGCGGAAGGGTCTTAAAAGCTAGACAGGCCCTTAAAGACCTGCTCTTTAAATTCGTGGAAGGTCTAGAGAAGCAATGGAACACCCAGGGTCACAAGCCTGACACAGAGCCCTCAGGACCTACCACCTGGAGAATGTGGAAAATGAGTCTGCCATCTGATGGTGGCGGTTCCTGGGGATTTGTCAACCCAGCTGTCTGGGGTGGGGGAGGGGTGCAGCTTGGATTGCTCTTATTCCTCTCCTGCCATCTGGGCTGTCTTCGACTTCTGAGGTCATTTAGCAGAAACTGCTAAAGAACTTCAAGCTAGGGCTTGGCTTGCCACTGCCTTGGGCTTAGGCCCCAGTCCTTCAGGATACCCCCCATACAATGCTTGCGAAGCCTCTTTGCTGGCTCATTCACGAGAGGGAGCTAATGAGAGAATTTAGGGAGGAACCTCTAAACCAGGGTGTCATGGTGCACACCTGTAATCCCAGCACCCAGGAGATAAAGACTGGAGGATCAGGAGATCAAGGTCATTCTCAGCAGTATATTGAGTTCAAGGCCAACCTTAGGCTATCAGGGACCCTGTCTCAAAAATAAAACAAAAAGACTCTTATTGTCTGGATCTCCATTTCCTTGTCGGAGAAACTCTCATTCTCTATGTGTCTTTGTGCTTAGGTCTGAGGCACTGAGGGCTCCTGAGGGTCTCTGATGTCTGTTCCTTTGGTTCTCAGTGTGGTGGCTGGGCCAGAGGATGCGCCCATGGAGTCTCATGGACGCTCTTCACCCTCGCACTTTGGAGCCTCCGCTGCAGAGAAGCACAGCGTGCTCAGCCTTTGTGAGCAGCTGCAAGGCTGTCTGCGTTTCTCACAGAGCCGTTCCATTATATCCCGTCCAGAGCGTACTTGAGTTGCATTTTGTTTTGAAAGCCTGTTAGCATTCTGGATTTAATTAACTGGCAGAACAAAGCCTCACTGTTTCCTCACCCTCAGTCCATGCCCATTCTACCTACCCACTGACCCCAGTTCTCAGCCAGCAGTCTCGAAGCCCCAGCCCACATCCAGGTGGGGTGCTCATTGTCCTCCTGGAAGCTTAGCTGGCACATGAAAAGGAGGTTCTTACTGCTGCCTGCCTCCCCACCCCACCTCTCGCCCACCTCATCTCTTACCTCTGGCTACCGTTTATTGAGCATTCATGATCTACTAGGCACCGGGCTAAGCATTTATGTGTTTTTAGTTCATGTATTCTAAAAGTCCTATGAGACAGTATTTATTCATCCGTTTTCTAGAAGAGAACTAGGTTCATTCAGATTGTCACTTAGCCACAGTGTTTAGCCAGGGTCACATGTAGTAAATGGCAAAGCTAGACCTCAAACCTCAATCTGTAGGACTCTTTGGACTTCTGGCCTCTACAAAAAGCTGCCAGGCCAGAAGACAGACTGGTCCTTAGTACTACTTCAAGTTCTCTGGAGGTCTGCCTACCTTGAGTTTCCATGCAGTCTCCAATCAGTCCCCTTCCAGAGAGTAGACTCTCTAGTGTCTGTGAGCAGTAGTCAGCTCACATGCCCACTACAGACTAAGCAGTGGGCGCCCTTGACTTCCAAAGCCCTCCCACTGCCTTGGCTTTAGTCCTACTTTCAGAGTCTCCCTAACCAGAAAAACCCACCCACTGAGTGTGGTCGATTGTGCTTAGCTGCAGGGGCCTGGCCCCACCCTGCCCTCTGTGTCATGGAGGGGAGGCAAAAGCAGCAGCAGCAGTCTAGGGTAGGTAACAGAGACAGGATGAGAGGACAGATGTTGGCACCAGGCCTCCTGAGGCTGTGTCCTGACCCTTCAACCCATGGTGATAGCTTTGGACAAGTCATTTTTCTCTCAAACGTCTTTCTGTTTTCCAAACTGTAAAAGAACGGTCCCGTCACCTCCATCATGCAGTCATTCAAGGACGGACTGAGTCAGTGCTTGTAAAGAGGTCACTGAAGTCTCTCTCCACCAGGAAGCCAAATCTCACACAAGAAGCCAGCAAACATTACGTGGGCATCCCTTTCCCAGCCTGGCAATCCTGTATGTGACCTCCCTTCTGCCTGGGATGG